TGCCACGTAAGCCTTGACTTGTTCCAAAGTAGCATCCTCACGCAGGGAGTGCTGGAACTGTTCCTTGGTGAGGAAGAGTGGCGCAACAAAAGACACGACCTCTTCGTTGAACGAAGCATCCTCATGCGAAACAGACACTGGAAGGCGGGACAATGCATCCGCGACTTGATTCCTTGAACCCTTGCGGTATTCCACAGAGTAGTTGTTGCGCAGAAGACGCTCTGACCAGCGTGCGATGCGAAGGGGCCGTCGTCCTGAGCCTTGAGACGACAGAAGAGAGACCAAGGCCTGGTGGTCCGTACGAAGAGTGAAGTGCCGTCCCCATAGATATGTGTGCCAATGCTCGCATGCCCAGACGCACGCGAGTGCTTCTCGTTCACCGACTGAATACTTTCTCTCTGCTGGAGAGAGAGTGCGAGATGCGAAGGCGACTGTGCGTAGCTGGTGCCCATCCATTTGTTGAAGAACGGCGCCAAGGCCGCAGTCAGAAGCATCCGTGGAGACAACCACCGGAAGAGTGGGATCAAACATCTGAAGTACTTTACTGGACGACAACAAGAACTTGACCTTCCGAAAACTGGCGTCGACGGCATCACTCCAGATGAAGGGTTGATTCTTGCGGAGCAGTGCGCGCATTGGTTCCACGACTCCAGCAAGGCAGCGAAAGAACTTGGCGTAGTACTCGACTAGGCTGAGAAACGAACGCAGACCAGCGGCGTCTGTGGGGGCGGGAGTGTTCAGGATACAATCCACTTTCTCTGGCAGCGGTGAGATGCCTTGGGCAGTGACCTTGTGGCCCAAGAAAGACAACTCTTGGACGCAAAAGGTGCACTTGTCATAGAGTTTGAGTCCAGCTGCCTTGATGCGGCGGAGAACAGCGGCCAGGTTCGTTAGGTGCTCTTGTTCGGTCTTGCCGAACACAATGATATCGTCAAACAGAACGCCGGAGCAATCTTTGAGAATCTGCGACATCAACTGCTGGAAGGCTGCGGGGGCGGACGCCAGCCCAAAGCATACCCGCTTGAAACGGAACAGTCCATCGTGGGTCACGAATGCGGTCAAGTCTTGGCTCTCGGGATGCAGCAGAACCTGGTGGTAGGCGGATGCGAGATCGAGCTTGGAGAAGGTAGTGGCACCGACGAGGCTGTTCAGGAGCTCTTCAGTGTGAGGAAGCGGGAAGCTGTCGGTGATGACTGCTTTGTTAGGTTCCCGGAGGTCAACACAGAGTCGAATGCCACCGTCCTTTTTCCTTACCACGACTATGGGGGACATCCTGTTCTTCCAACCGACGGATCTCTTCCGAAACTTGTGGTCGGAGTGTCAGCGGGAGACGCCGAAGTTTCGATGCCACGGGAGGCACCGCGAGTCGGATCTTGATCCGATGGACGAAACCCTTGGCGAGACCAAGGCCTGGGGCAAAGAGGGAGCCGAACTTGCTAGACAGGGTCTTCGGAAGAGGGTTGGGTTGAGAAGCTTGGCCCAGGCTGGAGAGCTGGGGCGCGTCGAGTGTCATTGGCATGGTCAACGTCTCGAAACAATGCAGGGACGACCCTTCGATGTGCAGGTCCAAAGCCTTGATCGCATCAATTCCGAGGATGGATGTGCCTTTTGGCACAACATGGAACAGAAGGTATGTTGCGCGTCCCTTGAACGTGACTTCCGTGAAGAAGCAGCCACAGACTAGAATGAAGCGCTTAGAGTAATCGAGAAGTTTCACTCGCGGAGTGGAAAGAAGTGACTCGTCAGCAAAATGTTGCTGGAAAAGGTTCTCTTCCAGGATAGAAACAGACGACCCAGAGTCGACAAGAAACTTGAAGGACTTGCCGGCGACGAAAACGTCAATGAACATGCCGGCTCAAGCCGGACCGACGACAGAAACAACGCTTAAAATCTCAGCATCATCGGACAAGTCCTGGCAGTCGACTTGACGAACGGCAACGGTGGAATGACGCTGTCGCTTGTTACAGACTGAGCGGAAGTGCCCTATGCGACCGCAGTGAAAACAGTGCTGACCTTGTGCTGCACAAGAGGATGACGAGGCGCGGTGCTGGCGGGAACCACAACAAAAACAGTGCGGTGACGCATTGTTCGAGGCACGGGAGCGCTCAGGGGAAGCGGACTGGCGGTTACGGCGTGAGGGCCCAGCTGACCGAGAGGCACGTGGTGTCGCTGAGTCATGGCGCGACTGTCGACAGGGGCTTGCTTGCGGGGGAGGTAACCGACGGGGAGATGAGCGCGGCCGCGTTGAGTCCCTGGAATGCCGAACGCCTCGTGAAGTTACCTGCTGAACGTTCCCGGGAGCAAGTTCGCGAACTTGCTGAGCGGCCTGCTCCAGTTGTTGTGCCAGAAGCACGGCGCGCGAAAAGGAGAGCGATGAACCTTCTAGAAGCAGACGTCACGAAGGTGTTGCGACGCGATGCCTTCTAAGAACTGGTCGCGGAAGGAGTCGTCAAGGGCGACGAAAGAACACGAAGCAGCAAGCTCTCGTAAAGCGGCGACGTATTCTTGTATGAGCTCGCCTGGTTGCTGGATACGGCGGCGGAAGCGAGAGCGTTCCACGACGACTTTGCTTGCCGAGGCAAAATGCTGCGTCAACGCAGCGACGGCTTGGTCGTACGATGACGGGGCAGTGGAAGACTTTTTGGCCTCATCGGAAGTTGTCGCGGCGGCAGCCAACGGGGCGGGTTTGGAGACGTCGGATGGCAGAGCGTAGAAAATACGCTGACCTTCAATTCCCAGGCTGTGTAACAGGAGGGCCTTGCGTCGTTCGGGCGGGAAGTCAGATGCTCCGGATGCCAGAAGAAAGGTTCCAAACATACGAATCCATTGCGGCCACGGAACACTTGGGCGGCCCGGCGCAGGCAGAAACGGTGGCGGTGGAGCGAGGCCCGAGAAACTCGTGGCGTCGCCGGCGTGGCTACAGGCGAGGTAATGCCTTCAGAAAAACTAGAACAATCTAGAAGCCTTGTCGCCAATGTGGTGTTTCGGCCTTCAGGCCGAGAAGAAGAAGAGAGTCAACCAGCCATGACCCAACGAAAGAATATCAAACTTTATCAGACGACACAATTATATACATGGGAACAACAGTGCCACATACATTCACAAGGTTTACAGACGAGATATAGAAACCGAAACTAACGACACCACAATACCATTGCAAAAGCTTTTAATTTTTCTTACACACACTGTGCAACATCCAATGTGCTGGATGATAGAACTGGTTGCATTCGAAGGATAAAGTGCTAGCACACGAAACGAATGTGAATGTACTATGCCAATATGCTTACCAAGAACAGCCTCCAACTCCTTTTCCAGCTTTCTGATCCTCTTCTGAGCCAGATCTAGCTTGCGCAGCAATTCTGCAACACTAGCCTGATGAATACACCGATCTCCATTGCACGGTGCCTGCTGAAAAGAAATGGGGGTTTCAAAGAAATATCTTTAATAGTACTGCACTCAACAGCTAAATTTAAGGCTATAATCACCACGGTTTGCCCCAGGTATACTGCATAACTCTTTCCTTCATTTGGAGGATACAAGAGTCAAAATATATTTATGCCGCATATCGACGAGGAAACTATACTTCTTGTCACTCCAAGGACCATAGTAAAATATTGACTCCTTGGAGTGTTATTAATGCTCCCCTTTATGGGGTAAATTAATATAGTGGTATGTGCATTTCAGGTAAGTTGGTGGATTTTTTTAAAAGTACATAATTTGATTGAAAGTAGCATAGCGTTTTTCTGTTGCAACCACATCTTGCACAAACTACTTCGCCTACCGCATAAACTATGCACAAAACAAGCTTTCTTTCTGGACCTAACGAGGATAGTTTCTTGCAGATATTGAAACCGTTCACAACCATACTTGACTTTTCGAAAAAAAAAAAGAAAGCTCAAACCAAAAGTTTAGAAACAAAGAGTTCCCAATGTTTCGGGGTCGACTCGACTCCTTCTTCAGGGGTGACTAAAAATGGAATGGGACAGCGCGAGCTTCGACCTCTCCTTCCTCTTCTACCGAGGTGATGTTTTGTGAACGTGACGCAGGCCATGGACGTAAATGGAGGGTAAGGCCCCGAGGGACCTGTTAATGTTCCCCGGTGTATTCTGGATATGCCACGACTCCAAGAGCAGGCGTCTTCGAATATGTGGCTCCGTGTCTATCACGTGTGCATTTCCGAAGTCAATCCGATGATCAAATACCTCACAATGTTCCGCGACGGCGCTACGCTTGCGATCGAAATTGCGCACATCGTTCTGGTGCTGGCGCATGTGTTCGGAAAAAGATTTAGTTTCACCGATGCAGGCGGCGGGGCACTCCGCACACGCTATCTTAGAGACTACGCCTTGTGCTTTCTCTTTTGGGAGGTGATCTTTCGGCCTTGGCATGAGTTGTCCTAATGTTGACACTGGCTTGTGCGCCACCTGGATCCCTTCTTTTCGGAGCACGCGCGCCAGCGTCTCGCTCGTCCCTTTTCCAAGGGGACGCTGATGCGCGCGATGGGGCGGGGCTGTGTGTCACCCGACGATCCATGGTTATTGCGCGTGCAGCACTGTCGACGGGCGACGCGCAATAATCGTTTTCCTTCATACCTTTTCAAGAGCATGACTGGTGTCCAAGGGCTCGTGCTGGCGCTCATTTGTGAAGTAGACGCACTGCACAATACCTTCTGAAAAAAATTTGGTACGCCCTACAGATTTCTTCCTAAAGAACATGTGAAACGCCTGAACAATAAACATTCAGACATTCAAACCTAACTAGGCAGGCAGGCTGGTTATCGTTCGATACAATACTGAAACCCGAGACAGATTTTAGTACAAAATTCTAAGAAACAGTTGTCGACAAGGCGCGAAACACAAAAAGCAGATGGAGGCAGACGACTCACTGAGCCGTCGATTACAGTGCCATTTCGAACGTTGCGGCTAAACTAGTTTTCCGCTGTCGCTGCGCAACAACCGTTCCTACATTCATTTGAACTCGGACTGAACTTTCCATACGTCTCAGTTCAGTTTGTATGTCGAACAAAAACTGAACAGTTTCTTACCTTCATCCATAGGCAATGCCAGGTCTTCTTCAGCTTTGGCACATTCGGAAGGCATCCCACGTCCTAGGTCCATGGTTGTACCTGATTATAATAATTACCCATTGTGTGCATCCTTCTATATATGTTTAGCAACAACATTTCAAACTGAGGAGTTCTGGTGGTGTTCCAGGTGTCCACAATATCTTCAAGCTCCACAATGGAGGCACCTATTGAAAGGTTCTTATTTTAGCTCCCATACGTAATAATGTGAAAAACAGTATGGTTTTCACTTTATCCACATTCTCCAACCGGTACTCACTTTTAGGCTCGGGCGAAGGTGGCATTTCGACTTCCACGGTAAGCAGCTCCACTGGAAGGCATTCCCCTGACATGACCTCAGGGAAGGTTGTCCTCTGCGTGGCTGTGGTTGCTGCAATTCAGAAATGGTGCCTTAGTGATGAAAGGTGCTATACTTTGCACTACTTTAACTCATATGTGGAACTTTAAGGGCCACATATGAGTTCGAGTAGTAAGAGTATGTCACGGGTGGTGACCAAAAAAGCAATAAATAAACAGGAGGAAATAAACGTTTAATGGGGCGAACTTGTGCCCAAAAAAAAGGATAGAAACAAAATAACAGCGTCGCAGGTGTCGATGTCGGCGTGAAAGCAGAGTCAAGCGCTGGCGAAGAACTGACCCTGTAGAGCCACGCGGAGCGCCTTTTGTAGACACACGGGCTTCGCAAACATTCGAACTAGAATGTTCGGCCTTCAAACATTCTAAAGGAGAAGCTTCTCAAACATTGTAGAAACTATTATTACAATACAATAATAAAAGTTGCACGACCCTCAGAAATCAAACCTGGGGCCTCTGCGTGAGACAGGTGCGTTGCCACTCGGCCATGCACACGGCAATATGTGGAGCTTCAAGGGCTAGTTTTTGTGATCCCTCTCATCTGCACATAATTGCCGAGTCTGAACAGAGCTTAAAAAATGACCAACAACGTTACAGAAAATTGATGTCGGACAAGAGCAAACTGTGCTGACACTTGACGAAGTGCCCTGAGCCACTCCATACTTCTCGAGATATGCGTCCGGATCATTAGAGTCTTTCACTAGCAGTTACCGCATCTTTTCGCCCTAAAGCGTTGATACCCTCAACAATTTTAAAAACCAAAAGTCCCCAATGTTGTTCTCTTTCCTTTTGGATTGTGTCTTAAAGGGATACTACAACGAAATTTCGGCGCTCATTGTTTTGTCTATATGTGTTCAAAAGAGCAGTATCACATGGAACATATCAATATCTTGTTAAAAAAGTCTCGAAAAGGAATTTTAAAACGAATTAAATGATTAGAAAAGAGCACCTGGTGGATGTCGCTAACGCCTCGTTTGTAATGCTCGTCTAGGAACCTTGACAGCTAGTGACGGAGGTTGTCTCGTCTGCGGCCACGACGAGAGAAGGGGGGAAGGAGGAACTCCCCTCTTCCCGAGAATCCCTTTTGTGTGTCGCAGAAGTCGCTATTGTCCCCCTAGAAGATTATAGAAGATTAACCCGTCACTCAAAATTCGTACAAAAGCAGCTGCTTCGGTGGCTGGAACGACTAGGCCATCCTCTCGACGTCAGCCTCGCCGTAGCTTTGCTCGCCTTGAGACGACCTACGTCACGATTGCGTTGGATGTCACGTGCTCTAAGCTGGGCCTTCTCCGAGCGCTTGCCAGAGTGGGCCGTTTATAACGAAAAATACAGCCACCAGGATCAAAATACAAACGTGCGATTGTCATTTACGGATATTGTGGATCATATTCAACCTATTTTTGAACACGACGGGAATATTTCAAATTTCGTTGAAGTATCCCTTTAATGTGGTAACTGACTATCAGACTCAACCCCGTGCTCAAGCTGGAAAGCTCGGAGCTGTCTGAGCTTGTTTCACTAAATAAAGCACATGACTCTCGTCTCAACAAGAGATTTGCCGACCCGGCAATTCTCTTGTTGAGACGAGAGCCATGTGTGGACATGGCTGTCTCCCAAGATGAACACAACGACTGCACTTGTCCAGCATGCATCGCTCGCAGGCTGCGGGTGTGTGCACTCTATAGAAGCTCTCTAGGGATTAAGGGCCTGATTTCTAACTGTAGATCAGCATGAACTTTTTTCTCCATTTATATGGCATTGTAGGTGGCTTTTTTTTCCTATTCAGTACTTACTAGCTTCTTTGGGTGCAGCTTGGACTTGGGTTTCAGCTGCTAGCAGTTGCTCTGCATAGCACTGCACTGGCATGACCACAGGTTCAGTTTTCTTCTGCACTTCTGTTGTTGCTGCAGTGCTTGAAGTTGCTAGAAATGCAGAAATTATGCATCGTCAAAAAAAACATAATGTGCATTCTTTAGCATCATATGGTGAATTCCGCTCGCAGATCTCGAGCGCTCCAAAAGCGCTCCATTTGGATCGCGCATATTCCGCTTGCAGATCTGGCTCGAGTTGGTCATCCTCCGCTCGTAGATCTCTAGCAGCACCCGCTCCATGGAGCACCTCCAACCCCGCCGAAATTGCTCCGCAGGATTTCACAGATCTATCCGGAACTTGACAGAGTGCATACGACATTTCCTTCATAGCTCGACAGTGCGCATGTGCGGCAAGGTCGCCGGGGCCGACCAGTCGTGCTGATCGGGCTGTCGAGTTGCATCTGTTCGGATGCGTCGGTTGTTTATGCGGGATTGTGACGGCTCAAACGCTCCTACCTCGCGTAGATCAGGGATACAAAGCCGGGACTGGAGTGTGGTAAATTGTAAGCGCCGACATCTGTGATCGTGAGAGCAAGAACTAGAAAACGAACGACAGAAAATCCGGAGGCAGACGCAAGGTTAGGCCCATTCATTCTGCAGCCGATGATTGTTTACCGTTTTACACTGCATGCCGCACACGTTTTCTCATGCAATAAAGCAAGAACAGATTAGGCAACGACCGTGCATGTGATGGTCTGTTACCTCTTTGTGTTTATTAAAGTCTTAGCAGCAATCTGAACTCCACCGATGGCGATCGCTGTGCGTGCCCCGCCACTTCGAGGCGGCTGAAAAGTGTGTGACAGTGGTGAACGCGGGCGTCTTACTCGTTATTTGTGACACAGGCTCCACGGTACGGACATTTTCGCCCGGCCTGTGTCGCGCAGCTGAACAGTGACAGTTGTCTCTGGTCGTCGGAAAGATCAGTCGGCTGAGGCGTTGGTGGGCTTGGCAACTTCGAGCAGAGGCCATTTTGAACGGCCGAGGGGGAAGCAGGGGGGGAAGCAGGGGGGAGGGGAGTGGGGGAGGTAGCTCCAAAAATGCGACTTTATCTTCTGCTCGTCGATTCGGAGCGGGTCCCACGGAGCGGAATTTTGCCTCCCTCGTGAATTTGGAAAGCACTCCGAATCGAGTGGAGTTCACCAATAATAAGTGAGCTACGTACCTTGCAGCTGACCATTGCTTCGCTTCTTCAGGACTTTGCTCCTTGGCACTTTTTGTGCATTTCTCGGCGCTGGTATGCTAGGAACAGCATTCGACTTGAGCAGTCTTCGACCGTCCGCCCTGTTTGCCTCAAATTGGCTCTGTTCGAAATGGTCCTATGAAAAATAGCAGATAAGGAAAAGGTTACCAAAACACAACAAAAATTGTCCCAGGATCATTTTTTAGGAGGTATACAGTACAATTGAATACTGCGAACCCTCGAACTTTTAGGTATAAAAGCATGGTTAGCAAGTTAAAGAGCTCTAGTGTCAAGCTTATAGCATGTTTCTGCACCAGACTATTTACAAATCGCCGAACATGCGAAAGTGTGGTCACAACGATACTGTTATATTGCTCAAGTATTGCACATTGCTGGTTCGATAACTTCTACTACGAGCTGGTGCGTGGAGCTGGTGCACGAAACGTGCGTGAGCGCTTCCATAACAGCATTACTCACTTCGAAGCCCGGGTAGTTGACAAGAGCTTGTGGTGGTTTGACAAGTGACCCCCGACCTGACCCCAGCCTCCCTTTCCGTCTCCCTCCATCCCCCCCCCCCCCCCTTAAAACAAGAAGATATACAAAAGACAAGAAGCACGGCGGTACTGATAAAAGCATTTATCAACAAAAGTGGCAAGACGAGCCAGCTCTCAACGGCACCTTAGCCAGCCGCTCGAAACGGACGAGTCGAATCTTTCGAAACGGCAAACGAACTCAGAAAGACGGCTCACCCAACATTACAGTTGTGCTTGAAAGGAACTTACCTCACAGACCCTGGAGTGTGCCGTGGGCTCAAAATTTTCGCGGTCGACGAGCTCCAACCACGCGCGAAGCCGGTGTTGGTCTTTGCTGCCCAACGGAAAGCGCAGCAAGCGCTTCCCATCCTCCCGCTTGGTGAAGCAACCTCCAACGGAGCAAAACGGCATCGCGCAAGGGTCTTTTAAGCGCTTGTCAGGCGCTGGAAGTCGGCGAAGCGTGGCATCTCATAACTTGTCCGTCGCCTCCGTCGTGAACAGCGCCCGCAAAGCCCCTCCTCGCCTACCGAGGGAGCTACGCCACAAGATGGCAGCGCCCACGAGCCAACGTCGAGACAACAGATGTCACGTGACTCAAACTGACGAATGACTACCGTGGCGGCATAAAACAATGGGAGAAAAGAGTGCCGATACTCTAAAAGCGTAGCTTTATTTAGTGACACTAGGGGTATCCACACGAAGGAGAACTCCGCGGACGGATGTCGTGACGTCAACAACGCGGGAAACTCCGTCCCCGGCTCCGCCGCGTGCACCGGCGGAGCTTTCGTGCTGACAGCACGAAGCCTCCGTGGCGGGAGAACGGCGGCGCGAGGCCACCGAGGCCTCAAAAAGGGATTACGTATGATGACGTATGCGCGCTCCGTGGAGGAAAGGGGCGGATTTCTCCTTCGTGTGGATACCCTTTAACTGGCGCGATAGAACTCCATGTATTTGATAGCTCTGTCAGGTGCTATTTTCCCGTTGAAAAATTTCTGAAAATCTATTATAACTTTCGAATATAAGATAACAGTTCACGCTGAAACTTTGGAATCTGGTTTGGACCTTAAGCGCTACATGTAGGCGGAGAATGAGCGCACGGCGATGTGCAGTTTATTCTTGCGGTAAAAAAAAAAAAAACAGAACAAAAAACCTGCGCATTTTTATAGGGGACAGCGTTTATAAATTAGAATACAACCCATTTTCTGGGAATCTTCTGGAGGCTGCATGGAGGCGGAAGGTTTGGGATCTCAGAGCGTCATTCGTACGTTCCCTCGCATGTTTACGCACCGCAGGCTCATCGAAGTAATGATTAAGGAGGGTTACTAAGTGTAAGAAGTGAAATTTATTACACGGGCGAGCTGGTTGACGTACACACGATTGTAAGCCGGAGACAAACGGACGACAAGGAGTCAAAAACACACGCGTGTCTGTCCCCTTGTCGTCCGTTCGTTTCCGGTTTAGGATCATCCGTTACTAAGTGCGGCAGTTTAGCCATCGCGTTCACTCAACATTCAGACGGCCGTTGCCGCATGTAAACGTTTTCTTTCGCCTTACTCGGTAATTAAGTCGGGACGAACGTAGGTCGACGTGCGCTCGAGACCGCGTGAGCGTCGAGGCCATTATTAATCGTTCCGCCTCTTCCAGGAGAATGCAGGCAGGCTCCGCTTTCTCACTCGGTAGATTCTGCTGTACTTTGTTTCACATTACGATGCACCACGGCGATCACTACGACCTATGCGAGGCAGTTCAGTGCCGTGTGAACGTCACGTGACTTTCCGGAACGGCGCAGAGGCACGTGGGACGTGCAGTCTCGCCGTACGTTTCCAGCGCTGAATTGGCTGGGATGGCTCCTAGGGTCCGCTGTGCTCAATCGTATGATGGAACAGAGTATAGGGCTTGGCGGTCTCGTCTGGTTGTAACTGGTGGCGAAGTGAGCATGGCCGTGGTCAAAAGCTTGCCCTGTATTACAAGAAATATGACCTCTGCCTCGCACGGCGCGGCATTGCACTTTTGGCACAGACGCTTCAAACAAGCGGGCTCGTAAGTGAAAGGGCGTTTTCACATTCTATTTATTTATTTATTTATTTATTTAGATACCTTAAGGACCCCCTTGGGGGTATTACATAAGGGGTGGGTACAGAGCGTAAAACAAAAGGGTAGAAAACACGCCAAAAACAACTCGCGTACAAAGAGCAAAAACACACAAATGTGAAAGGCAAACTGTACACATATAGATGGTTCGTACAAACCTAAAGTGGGGAGTCTAGCAAGCGTTTCTTAAATTCTATCGGGTCATGAGTGATGATGACGTTCTCGGGAAGATCGTTCCAATCAATGGCAGTGCGTGAAAAAAATGAATTCTGGAAGGTGACGGTTCTTGCTTTGGGGCGTCTTACGCCGAGGTTATGTCCCGTACGACGAAGCCGGTATTCTGAAGATATGATGTATGATGACCGGAGGCACTGACTGTAGTAAAATTTGTGAAAAAGAGATAGCCTAGCAAGTTTACGACGGACAGAAAGGACAGGGAGGTTTGCACGGATTTTAAGATTAGTTACGCTAGAAAAGGAAGAATAATCTGAGTAGATAAAACGTACTGCACGATTCTGGAGTGATTCGAGGTTATTGATGAGATAGGCCTGATGCGGGTCCCAGATGGCAGATGCGTACTCCAATTTAGGACGGACAAGGGATGAGTAGGCAAGCAGCTTTAGGTGAGGAGGGGCTAGCTTAAGGTTACGTTTTAAGAAGCCTAGTGAGCGATTAGCAGTGAAGATAACGTGACTGATATGAGTAGCCCAGGAAAGATCAGATGAGAGGTGGACTCCGAGATACTTATAGGAAAGGCTTTTCTGCAGAGGTACGTTATTAAGTGAGTAGGAAAACACGGAGGGGCTTACACGTCGTGTAAATGACACGAGCTGGCATTTCTGGACGTTAAGAGACATCTGCCATTCTTCGCACCACGCTTGAATTCGTATGAGGTCATCTTGAATGAGTTGGTGGTCCGAAGGGTTAGTTACTTGGTGGTAGATGACGCAATCGTCAGCGAAGAGGCGAATATGCGACGTGATTGATACGGGTAGGTCGTTAATGTATATTAGAAATAGGAGTGGTCCAAGGACCGATCCCTGGGGAACGCCTGAGGTGACTTCGGCAATAGAGGATGATGACTGGTTAACGGTAACGAATTGATGTCTATGCGTAAGAAAGCTAATGATCCAGTTCAAAATCGCGGGGTCTAAGTTAAGTTGATTAAGCTTGTATATGAGACGTCTGTGAGGGACCTTATCAAAAGCTTTAGCAAAGTCTAGAAAGATGGCGTCAGTTTGAATGTTAGAGTCGAGGTTAACATGCAGGTCATGGACGAAAGACGCGAGTTGAGTTTCACAGGAGAAGTTTTTTCGGAAGCCGTGTTGGGCGGAATGGATATAGTTGTTTTCTAACAAGTGATGAATGATTTTGGAGTAGATGATACGTTCCATTATTTTACACGACACGCTTGTTAGGGAGATGGGACGGTAGTTAGAAGGGGAGCACTTGTTTCCGTTTTTGTAGATTGGGACGATCTTCCCAACTTTCCAGTCGTATGGCAAGGAACCAGTAGAAAGTGACTGTGCAAAAAGCTTTGCCAATATTACGCTAGATATATCTTTAGTATTTTTCAACACTTTTACATTTATTTCGTCAATACCGGCTGATGAAGAAATCTTAAGAGTGTCGATGATTTTCACAATGCCAGCCGGTTCAAACGTGATCCCATCCATGGATGTAGGAAAGGCAGGAGGAACCATAGAAAACATATCATTGCACTCTTGTGTGAACACTGAACAAAAAACATCATTGAATTTTTCTGCACATTCGTCATCAGGAACCAAAGAGTCATCGTCGTTTTTAAGATTGATTACTATTTCAGGTTTAGGATTAACGACATTCCAAGACTTTTTTGGGTTGCTCTGCAGCATGCATGGGAGATCAACATTAAAAAACGCTCGTTTTTGTGTTCTGATTGCGCTTCTGAATTGTCTGTCGGAACTATAGAACTTATCCCAGTCCGAGCTGCGCTCCGTGGTTTTGGCTTTACGAAAGAGTCTCTTTTTTTTCGTGCTTAAACGTTTCAGGGTAACATTAAACCATGGAGCAGAAGCGCTTTCGAAAAATGTCACAGTTGGGATAAAGCTTTCAGCTAGTTGTTGCATTTTAGATTTGTACATAGTCCAATTTTCACAGACGGACCGATTGTCAAAGTCTATTAAAAGGACATCTAAGAATTTCTCTAGCTCAGTATTCATTCCTTGATAATTCCCTTTCTCGTATAGTTTTACGGTTTTCTTCCGCTTCGATTTTGACTGAATATTTAAAGAAAATGTGCAGTAAATCACTTTATGGTCACTTATTTCGTGTAGGTAGTTTATCGACTTTAGAGAGTCAGGATCAGAAACAAGGATGAGGTCAAGGATGTTCGAAGAGTGGGTGGTTGATCGTGTGGGTTTAGTTACAAGCTGCGAGAGATCGAAATTGAAGCAAAGGTTAACGAAACCAGTCGCTTCACTCGTATCAAGAGGGACCGAAACGGATAAGGCGGGCCAATCAATAGAGGGGTAATTAAAGTCACCGAAAAGCAGAATACTGGATTTGGGATATTTAAGGTACAATTCATTGAAAGCGTCATTGAGGTTAATTAGAAAAGATGGATCGCTGTGAGGGGGTCGGTAACATACACCGATAAGGAGCGAAGCGTGTTGAACCGTGCAAGAAAGCCATAGCATTTCCAACAGTGAAGACAAGCTTACTAGGTTGCACACAAAACTATCTTTTATCGCAATCAAGACCCCCCCTCCCCGGCCACTTTCCCTATCTTTGCGGAATATATTGAACCCAGAAGTGCCCGTAAAAATTTCTGTATCAGTTACCGATGATGACAGCCATGTTTCAGTAAGCGCAATAATGTCACAATCGGTAGATGCAATTAGGCTACATATCTCGTCTTGTTTAGATATCACGCTTCTTATATTTGTGTAAATAAAGGACAGTGGCTTTGGGGGAGTGGGTTCATGACCGCGGCGAAAAGATCGGGTTAGTTAAGAAGGACACTCTTTTACGGTGTTTGACGCGTCATCAAAATAGTATCGTTTTTGTCCAATGAGGAGCGTTTTGAAACGTAAGGAAAAGGGCATAGCTTGGTTACGCGCGAAAGTTAACAAATTCCTTCTAGCAAGCTGAACCGAAGGAGAGAAATCTTCACTTACAGCGAAGCTAGTGTCCTTGAACTTTTTACCCTGAGAAAAAATTCGTTCTTTGGTTTTATGAAGAGCAAATTTTACAATTATCGGGCGGTTCTGATTGGGACGATATCGACCTAGTCGGTGGGCACGCTCGATGCCGTCTGGCATGATGTTGATATCAAGATGTTGAGAACAAAGGTTTATTATTTTCTGTTCCGACTGT